TAAATCCATTTCTTTACTGCTGGAAGATTAGAGAAGTAAGACAGGCAGTGAAGCAGACAATCAGACAAGCACTTTGATGTCCGTGTAGCTAGATCCTCCTTGGGATACTGAACGCTCGTCGGATCTTTCTTCGGAAAGGAACATATAAGAATCTGGAAAAAACATCCCGCCTCACTTATTATCGAAGATAATTTGCAGGAAAATTTTCACGCAAAAGGCAATATTTCTATCATGGTCCTGTGACATAAAACTTTTGTATCTATAAAAGGAACTTTGAGAGTATATCGACGGAATAACATAGGAAAGAATTTCCCGATACAAAGAAATTGATAAAGAGTTGTATTTAGTGCAACTGTGGGAAGAAATTGGTTTCTCTTGTGACAGAAGAAGAATAGAGTACTGGGATTGTAAATGAGAGCACTTTACTGAAAAAACTTTTTATGTAAAAGATATTTTCTAGAATCGGCATGATTAAAATTATGCCGATTCTAGAAAATTCATACATAATTTATTCAAACTTTTTCGCCTTCTGGTTTTTAATTTATTCGAAACAAAAAAATAGCTTTTTTATTGGTTGCTTTTAAAATGTTTGTTGACACCTCTTTAATCATTTTGAAAGCAGAACACTTGAAATAATTAAAGTCGTGATGTCGCAAATTATTTACGCTCAGTGGCCGTGATATATTTCTTGTCCATTCAAAGCATGATTTAGAGAAATATGGGATATTGAAGCAGTTTTGTCGACTGTGGTTTATCGAGGGAACAAAGGTGCGTTTGATTTTGCCATCTGAGATTTAAAGAAGCGGAAATTCCCTCGAATTATTTAAGTTTACGAACGGAAATTCAGTGATACATTTGACGAGCGTGTTTATCTGTCTCAATTGACCTCGCGCTCACTGAAAATGAAATGCGTTCTGTTCCTGTACTCTGGAAGCGACAGCGCTAAAGCAGAACAGCTTAAGGACTATTTACAAGACAAGCTGCCAAAAGCGGCAGATTTACGAAATATTACTGATATTCGGGCAGAGTAGCAGGATTTTAAGAAAGAACTTTCTCGCAGCAGCTGCGTCGTTTTGACAGGATAGCGTCATGCTTCGTCACTTATTCAAAACAAACGCCAAGAAACCGAAGATGACTTTATCACTTTCGACGATAAAGTGATACATGACGAGTTCACAGGAAACAAAGAACTGCTAGACAGATTGGTGATAGCAGGTAATTTAGTGTTAACAACTGGGTTGAAAACGTAAATTAGCCACCGTAAAGGGTAAAAAAGCTGACGTTTCGAGCGTTAGCCCTTCGTCAGAGCGATTAGAGGAATTGTGGGTTGTGTGTTAATAGTTTTCTTTGCGGAGAGAACCAAGAATGATTGAGTCCCAACCGGTTTGGATGAAAGGAGAATTTTTAACCTGCAAGGTGAAGTAATTCAGGGAGGAAATCCTTCCTTAGACCATCTCGAAGACTGCATCAAGGGAATCTTGAATGGAAAAACTCGCGTGTGATTTTAAGTCAAAAATATGAGATATTGTGGACTCTTAACTATTTCTAGTATAGCCGATAGGCTAAAACTGAAGGAAACTTTTAAAATCAAACTGATATCTGTAAGCAAAGGTTTTAGTAATAAATGGCAGCCCCAAAGAGTAAGAAATAACATTGATTCCCGGCTGTACATATTTTTAAGCGTCAAGGTAAGGAGTTTGCATTTGATCGAACTTTCTACTTCTGTTTTCTTGTTTGACTGAGTAATCGGACCCTTTGGCTACAAAGCGGAACCCGCCGGCGACCGACGAAATTCCACGGTACTTGAGACATGATTGTATTGTTATGGTTTTAGAGAAGAAACTCTATAGAGGAGCAAAGTCCTCGTGCGTCGATAATTTTTTTTTTCTCGGGGGGGGGGGGGGGGGGGGAGTTTTTTTTTTCTTCCTAACAAATTGCACTTTTAAGCCAATTACTCCGATGGTTTAAAACATAGACGGTTTCTTCATCGCAATCATCCATATAGCAAGCCATTTAAAGCTAGAGCGTTTTTTTTTTTGCTCTTAGTTCCCGCTTGTGTGACCCGCCTTGAGTATGACAACCGTATCGTCGTGGAAGTCTGGGTAGAAGAGGTGGACGACCCGCTATACAATCAATCTTGTTCTAATGGTTGGGCGGGACTGAAGAGAGACCCTGAAAGCGACGTTCAGACGTGATAACGTCACCAATTTCATTTACAAAGATCCGTTATTATCGACTCAATTTGGCAGAGGTGCGCTTTGTTATCTCGTTTGGACAAAAAAGCTCTATGGAATGGTCAATATATATTCTACTCTGAACAGAGGCTGATGGCATACCTACATGCTTCTTAAAATGAAACAAATAACTACAATATCTTTAGACTTTTCACAGCCCAGTGTTAACTAATAAATAAACATTAATAAGACAAGAAAACTATGACCTGAGCATTCCTTGAAGAATTTGGAGAATGCAAGTTAGACATCAGTCATTTTCCTCCTCTTCTCTGTTCGGAAGCTCTTTATGTAAATGCAATGGACATTTTTCTCAATTCTGTGGTCTCCTCGAAACAATGTTTAAGTACGTATTATCGACAATATCTTGAGCTCTTTCTGCTAAATTTATTTTTCTCCACAATTTCATACCATCTGCCCTTTTCAATCACACGGTTGAGCCAAGGGTGTAACTATCAAACTAGTCTTGTTTGAAGAAAACGATTTATACACACAACTGCGATTAATTATCAACGTCTAACGCACTGAAATGGTTGTTCAAGAGCAATCAGCGTAAAAGCAGGCTTTTTACAACTGTAGCTCTTGCTGTCCATCAAGGATAAACCTCTATTACAAACTCTATCATTCTTGTGCTTAACACAGGAAGTCATCTCCAAGCAGTATTTTCTTCATACGATATTCAAGGTGGGCCAAAGTGGGACTTCCATCGAGAGGAACTTTTCCATCTTCCACATGAAACAGTCGCTTTTCATCAAAACCAGTCGGAATCCAGTCATTCTCGGTTCTCTCCTTGAAGTGAACGATGATGAGTCTGTTCTTGACAAGTTCTTCGTTTTCTGCGAATTCTTCTTGTATGACCCTGCCGTCAAAAGTAATGAAATCACCTTCTTTTTCTTGCTGCTTGTTTTGGATAAGGAACAGAGCCTGGTGTGACCCGATCAACACGACACATTCACTGCGGCGGAGTTCTTTCTTGAAATCTCGTTCCCTGGCCAAAATGTCCTTGATATTTCTTATATCTGCAACCTTTCGCAACCTGCCTTGAACATAATCCATAAGTCGCCTAGCCTTAAAGCTATCGCTTTCAGTATACAAAAAAAATGAGAATTTCATTTTTGACTCGATTTGGAAGGCAGAGATACAAATGAATCGAGCACACCAGCTTTGGATCTTGCCGTTTAAATCAGTTTAAGGCAGGAAACTAAAAATGTGCTCACAAAGAAGCCAGCTGGCAACAAAGCAAGGAAACACCTGTACTACTATAATTTATACCAGATGCAAATGTGTGAATTGCACTTGAAATGATTATTATGTAATACACGAGGGACGTATCCATAGAAAGCTGTTCTTAAGAATTGCCGTATAAATTACTTATATGATCTGTGTGCCTGGTTGTAATTAAATCACGACTCGAGCTTTTTCGGAGGTCCCAAACATCCCAAAATAATAAGAGCATTTGGCAAGCCCACTTTGGTCCGTTTTTATTGGAACTTTTTTTCAATTTCACTGATGCCTTTAATTCTGTAACTAGTGAATATATTTTCGTCAACTTTCACAATCGTTTGCCATGAACACATTTTGGATAATTTTGATAAAGATTTGGTTAGCGTATTACATGCGCAATAATGTATTTGCACCGCGAATCGCTTTTCTTTGAATCGTAGACAATTACAAGCTAACGAAAACTACTGTTTTCAAGCCGTCTAACATCCCTTGAGGGCTACGACATGACAAATCACACTTTCTGTTTTCAATAAAGGAAGGAGGAGTTCTCTTCTCTTCAAATGACGAAAAGTCAGAGATGCACCGTCAAGTAAGTGATGGGTAATGGTGGATTATTAAGCATGCAATAATTTTCTTTCTTTCTTCTGTATCCCTTTTTTTTTTTCTTTTTTCTCTTTAAATGAAATTTTTTTTTCTCTGTTTATTACTGCGATGAGTTGCATCAATCAGTTGAGGGCTGCTCAACTTGGTACCCAGGCGCTCTTCGGGTTTTCAGCTTAGAGGCCTATAAATTCCTGGGGATGAGTTGGAACAAGGCCTCGAGCCACTATGCTTGTACATCAATGCGGATGTGCCTACCTCAAAGCTCGATGTATTTAGTGAAATATGGTGCATATTCATTACATATAACTTAAATGTGGCTTGTGTTTGAAGATTCAGGAATGAGTAAGGGAGAGCATGGGTTGGAGCACGCTGAAAAGGACAACGAACCAGGAGATCAGCATCCTGAAATTTTTGATCGCTGTCGTGATCATCAGCGAGAATATTTGTTAGAGGATGAGTTTGACGAGGAGTTCTGGCTTAAGGTAAAACAAGTTTCTACGTTTATTTGGAAATCTTTCGGGAAATGTTTTGCCATACATTTGGTCCGTTATTGACGTAGCTTGATTAAATTATCTAGGTTCACAACAAGCAGAACAGAGGATTGTCATGGAACAGAGCTATGGATGAAGTTCGCGTTGAAAGACTGATTCAGACGTACAAGAATAGTGGAGAAATGGACAGTGAGGACCCAGCACTTGTGATTTTAAAACAGTGGCCAGGATCGAAAAAGTACATAGATAGTCCCGAAAAACTTCCAGGACTTGAACAAATGGTCTGTATATACATATATATCTATTTCAATTTACATAAAGGGAATTGATTAATTGCCTTTGTTATAACCATGACACTAGTTTGCAAACTTGCTTTTAATTTTTGTATCTTTTTTCGTAATACTATTTTTTTCAGATAAATCGATTCTTGGATATTCTTTTGGGAAGTGAGCTAAGCCTAGGAAATAGATACAAGGCGTTCCGAGACGAAGATGACAAATCAAGGAAAACATTACTACATTATGCTACAGAACTTGGCTTTCTACATGTCTCCAAAACGCTCGTAAGGAAATGTCCTTTGCTGCTTACCATGACGACAGAAGCTCAAGTTATACCTGAGAAAAAGAGAGCCATGTTACCCCTGGAATTGGCTCTAGTGGCAGAGAAAGACGATGTGGCAGAGTTTTTGATTAGAGTTATGTGGCATGAAAGGTAAAAAACAGACTGGCGATTTAATGAAAATATGAAATACGTTTTCTAAATGAAAGAACTAAAGAAGGATTTTAATTTCCAAAACTTGAGGTTATTAAAAGAAAGCATGTTGTATATTGACCATCAATTTCTTAATCTAAACGATAAAGTCCAAACAATATTCTGAAATATATGTACATGTTAAGTTCACAATATCAGAATTAGTGCAGTGATAATTGTCCTTCTTCAACTAACCTGACAACCAGGGATTGTTTAGAAAAATCTGATTAACTGGTGGACAGGATATTTTTACTTACTCTTTAAATGGTAACTTATTTCCACTGTCATTTTAGAGTCCTAAGCTTATTTACTTGGAAACCAGATGATATGACAAGTCCTGAGCCATCCTTCTTCAGTTTCAAGGCAATTATTGAGAATCCTAAAATGAAGGTGAGCATTTTCTATTCAGTATCAAAATTTGAAAAGAGGGCTGGTTTAATTTTTTTATTGAGTAAGCAACTTGGTGATTAAGAAAAGCCTACTATACCTTGAGCCTAATATGTATCAACCAGGGGTACCAATTTTTTAATGCATGAAATCGCATGTATCTCTCCATAATCTTAGTAACTTATGTGGTGCCCAAACCCCATTAATCTTATGCCAGTCATAGATGTCTTGTAAGTGGCTTTTTTTGGCTATTTTTTTTAGTGAGCATTATTAGTTTGGTTCAATACAATTAATTGTGTTTACTTGGGAAAATTGGAATCCCCCTTCAGTAACTTTTTAAAGATGCCTTTTTTATTGATGTTAACCCTCTATGGCCAGTAGCATATACCAAGGTGACCTTCTGAGGGAGTTGCTATTCCAGATGTAAATCCCTTTTAGTTTATCTGCACATCTGCCATATAGGAAAATAAACAACACTTTTTAAAAACATGTTTCAACCGTTCTTCTGTCATCTTCAGTTCTGATTTTGCAAAGTACAAAGTTGAATTTAAAGTGTATTAACAAAATGCTGAACAATGTATGCAATCAGAATTGTAGATGACAGAAACACTGTTGAAACATGTTTTTAAAAAGTGTAGTTATTTTCTTAAATTTGTTACATATCTGCTGCTATCCAGATGTTTGCCATTCTTGAAAAGAGCAGAGAAAACTCAGTCATCATGATTTTCCTGGTGAAGTTCATTATATTTGTTTTTATGTTGTTGTCATTTTCATTGTTATGATTATAATTATTATGATGATGATGATTATTATTATTATTATTGTCTTAGCATGCGGCAATGTGATTATGATAGGGTCAGGTATTACTCGTTGGCTGCCATCGGATCATTTTTAGTAATACCTAAAACACATGTTCAGTAGAAATCTTTTTGATGAAACATTATATGGTTTTGTGTTGTTCACAGAAAACAGTAGTAGCTGTATTAGACCAGATGATGAATCCTCATTGGCCATATCTTCCAAAACGCCAAGAAAACTATGAAACTGAAATGGAGAGGGAAGCAATTGAAGGAGTCTGGAATACAGTTTCAGATGATCCATTAAACTATCATTTTTACTATCATATATTGGATGGAGATGAGGGAGGACGACCCCCACAGATTATGACTTCAGATGGACACCAGCAGATGGAAAACAAGTATTTTAACTGGAAAGACAAGTCTTGTTTACATGCCATAGCAAAGAGCAACAACAAAGTAAGTTTAACCTAGAAAAAAATTTCTGGTAAATGCTAAGCAATTGTAGCTGAAGTTAAAAGTGTAATATGTCACTTAAGATATTTAGAAAAAGTAGAAACATTCAGATTTATCTGTTGTTACATAAAGCTGCAGGAGTTTGATTCTTAGATCACTCTCGACTCATGCTTTGGACAGAAATCAGTTCTTGATTTTCATTTTAAGGAAGCTTTGCAGCATCCTGTGGTTAGAATGTTGATTAAAACAAAATGGAAAAGTTATGGACACTTGTTTCTCAGGTAA